TAAGAGAGAGAGAGAGAGTGGGGGGGGGGGTTAGGTACAGAGGCGTGTGTGTGTGTGTGTGTGTGTGGTACTTGATTCAGGGTTTTATGTGCGCAATGCCACAGGTATGTAACATAAGCTGTTGTTCGTGTTGGGGTTGCACTCCCACGGTATCACGCCATTGTATTTGGGTGCATCGATCGCCGTAGTATATCCCATGGGCTGTTTCTTGTCTCACAGTCAGCAGGCCTGCTTTCCTCCCAGCTTACATGAGCAACATGAATGTATGTATAGTTGGTGGTCTTATACGTTGCTGCCATAGTATGATGCGCCGTACCACCCTCTTCCAACCCACGAGCCTTGCTAGCCTCGCGTAATGTTCCGCTCACAAACCAAAAGGGTACGAAATCTATGTTTCATGTGGACAGAATAGAAATGGTTTGCATGCAACACATGTGTTGCTCTCACGTTTAAAAGGTGTACAATGGCTTTGTGACCGTCTATCTACCCGTCTCATTCTGCCACACGCTGCACCTGTCATCTCACATTTCGGACTGTGCACCTGCCCCCAATCTCAGTCGGACGTCCAGCTGCTTGACTACAACATCCAGGCCATCACCGAAGGCACCGACGCCCTGGGCCGTGTGAGTGTAGCCATTAAAGGAAAAGAGGAGTCGGATCGCCCGTACCACGGCTCAGGCGCACACCACGACATCCTCGTGGCCAGTGCTGAGGCGTATGTGAGTGCCATCAACGCTATGCTGCACGCCAAGAGTGGCCCGCCCATGAAGCGCACGGTGTCCATGGCCTTTGGCGCGGGAGTATAAATAAACCAAGTGTAAAATTATTGCTATAACCAAGTTTAATAACTATTGTCGTTGCGACTTGATGTAGAGTGGGGTGTGTTGCCTGTGATTCGCGGCGGCTGTGGTGAATATGTATCACACGCAGCAGATAAATATATGCTACACACACGTGCCCACCAGACTAATACAAGAGTGGAATCTGTCTGTGCTCTATAACACTTTCAGTGGGAGTACACAATTGCCATGGTAACTAGAATGTCTGATCCTTCAGACTATACATCACCACATGTCTTTTAACACATCCAGGTGAACACAACATGTGCACTTCACTACATGTGGGCACGCACAATCAACAGCACATGGCCAGACTACTACCTATTCAGGTGCAGACGATACTAAACTATTAAACCCTGCCTATCTAACGGTCTCGCAAAGGCAGATAAGACGATAGTCAAGTGCACACGCACTTCCCAATAGAGGCAGATAAGAGGATAGTCATGTGCACACAAATACTTGATATGCACTTCCTAATATAGGCTGATAAGAGGATACTCACGTACACATAGAAACAGATACTTGCAACTTGCTATGCACTTCCCAGTTGAAAATGCACCGCCTAGACAGAAGCATCTATCTCAGATGGACATACGAGGTACATGTGCAATGGCAATAAATGCAGACGATGTTAAATGGTGTTCAAAGCCCCAGTGCGTTCCCTTCAACAAAATAGTACCCGTTGAATACCACATAGATACATTGCACGCTACTATCGGCCACAAGCCAATATCAGTACCAAACAATAGAAGAAAGTGTCAAACATTACAAGAAGTGGCAGACATTACAAGAAGTGTCAAACAGTACAAACTTGCAATAAGTGTTGACGCCATCAGAGCGTTCCCATTCGCTTTATTTCCTACTAATGATTGGTTTGTCCTAGTTTTACGATTTTATTTCACTTTTGTAATACCCGAGTGGTTGTTCTGTTCTAATTTTAGGGGTTTATTTCGCTGTAATTCATTAGGCTTGGATTTAGGAGGTTTAATTCGCATCATTTACTACTTGAGTGATTGTTTAGTTTTGGTTTTAGGTTTTATTTCGTCTTATTTACTACTAGAGTTATTTTTTTGGCTGTTGGGGGGCGCAGGTGAACCACAAGGAGTGGCACGAGCCGATTGGATTTCCATTGTAAGCGCCTCGATATTCTGCGTCGTCTGTTTGTATATTGTCCTGTTGGGTCAATTTTTTTTACATCAAACATATCATTACATTGGCTATGTATTAAACAAACAACATTAGTTTATGATTACAACAGGTTACATTAGTTTATATCTTAAACAGGTTGCATTAGTTTGTATTCTAAACAAATTACATTAGTTTCTATTTTGAACAGATTGCATTAGGATATGTATCGTTTTGTTGTGTATCCCATTTATATTAGCGATGCCGTCGAATTGACACGTCCATGTCGATAGTCAACTGTAAAAGGATGTTTGCTGATGTACACTGACACCTGGGTGCAGCATTGGTAATCGTATGCACACATATACAAAGTACTATAGAAGAGCAATGTTGTATGCGTACGTACTTGGTCGACCATGGCGAAGCCGTAGGGTTTTAGGGTTCGATAGCTCATCAAACACCGCAACAAGACGAATAGGAACCATTAAACCGCACACGCACAAGCACACGTGTTAAGCTATTGCACGTGTCACTACAAATAGAATGAGTACTCAAATGTGTACCAAGTTTAAGAATGCAGCAACAGCAGGCGAATAAGCCAACACGAGACCAACCGACTATTCATACCACCGAACTATCACTGGGTCATCAGCTGAGGTGGAGTTTGCCAGGCAGAGGATTGCACTCAGTTAAGTGCACACCATGCACACAGCAGCACACACACGGCCCTTCTACATTAACGTCACATCCATTAGACGTCAACTCAGCTCTCCACACACACCCACGGTCATTTGAAACAGAAGACATACAGGTACACACATTCATGTCCAAGCCCTATATACGAGGCCCAGGTGCACACATTCATGTCCAAGTCCTATATACGAGGCCCAGGTGCACACATTCATGTCCAAGTCCTATATACGAGGCCCAGGTGCACGCATTCATGTACAAGTCCTAAATACGAGGCCCAGGTGCACACATTCATGTCCAAGTTCTATGTACGAGGCCTAGGTGCACCTAATGAGTTCCCCACGCGCCACTGCACTCACCTGGACTGTTCGACTGTGAGGTATTTGTTGCTGAGATCGGCCTGGAGTGCGCCGATGTTGTCCTGCACCTGTGTCTTGACCTGGAAGTACTGCTGTGCCCTGTCCACCCGCACGCCGTAGATGGGATCGTAACTGCACGCAATAGCCACACGCAATCAGTCGAAGTCAAATACGATGAGTCATGGGAGTACCAGTACGTGAACCAACCCATGGTCAGTTACATATACCAATGCGTATGGTTTCGTAATCTAATGTGTGTTGTTAATGTGACATATATATCACACTATGGAGATCCGCAGACGCACACATCTAAACAAAACACAGACCAAACGATGGGCGTGCGGCACATACGTGGCCTTTTGCCGCAGATCTTGGAATTTATCTTGCGCTGTCTTGACCTTCTGCGTTGTTGCTGCAACCAGCCTGCCTTGTTTCTCAACCTTCGCTTTGCACTTGTTGACCTGAGTACGCATCGACCAATGATATGTCGAATACGGTTTCAAATTCAAGAGTTAGAATTTAGCATTTTTGAATTGGGATTTAGAATTTAGGATTTCAAATTCGGGAATTAGGATTGAGGAACACACAATGTTTGTGGAATAAACAAGTGGTTGCCATTGGAACGCGAGGCACACTAATGAGACCGCACAGCCAACAAAACAACAGGCCAATCAATCAAATATCACACACGCGGCACAAGAGTT